CAAGGCACAGCTTGCTTGCTGGGCCCTAGCTCTGGAGAACAGGGTCTTTCCTTATATCTTGACACACTTTATTAAAAAGGATCATTTCATTAAAACATCTTAGTTGTATTTAAACCATCTGAGACAATAATCTTAGTTAGAGAACTTTCCTCTTATTCAAACAGAAAAGTATTTGCCCCATTTTACAAAGGAAGAAACTGAAGCCCAGAGGATCTTGTGAAACATTCCAGGAAATCAGTTTTTAAGTTTGAGATGGTAGTCAGGTGATCTGCTGTCTAATTCAGTAGTCTAGAAATTAGGATCATAATTTTTCTTAGCTGGTTATCTGCAAGAAATTTAAAGGTGAATTTGCTCTCTTTTATATCAAGAAATTCATATTTATTTTATGACTAAAACATACATACCATGTGTGAAATACCAAGAGGAGTTATTTTTATCCTAGAGGCAATAAGGAGAGTGGAGTTGAGTAGGAAAATCAGAATGGCACCTTAGGAAAATCACTGTCAGCCATATGAAGATAGAATATAGTGGGAGACATCTGAAGCAGCACCTAACAGAGTGCTCTATATACAGTGATTAATATCTGTTGAAATGAATTCTCTTCAAAGGATCCTTACTATATTCTGTCCATATACATATAAGTAAAATCATGCTAGAACACAGGTTCTTTTGTTTTGTTTTGTTTTAATTATTTTTAGTTCTCAACATTCACTTCCATAAGCTTTTGAGTTTTCAGTTTTCTTCACCTCCCTCCCCACCTCCCTCCCCAAGACAGCGTGCAATCTGATATCTCTACATATATATTCTTATTAAATATATTTTCACATTAGTCATGTTGTAAAGAAGAATTAGAACAAATGGAAGGAACCACGAGAACCAAAAAAAAAAAAAAAAAGAGAGAGCAAATAGTATGCTTCAATCTGCATTCAGACTCAATAGTTCTTTCTCTGGATGTGTATAACATTTTCCATCATGAGTCTTTTGGAGTTGTCTTAGATCCTTGTATTGCTGAGAAAAGCCAAGTCTATCAAAGTCAGTCATCACACAATGTGGCCATTACTGTGTGTACAATGTTCTTCTGGTTCTGCTCACTTCACTCAGCATTAGTCCATACAAGTCCTTCCAGGTTTTTCTGAAGTCGGCCTGCTCATCATTTCTTATAGCACAATAGTATTTCACCACATTCATAAACCACAACTTGTTCAGCCATTTCCCAATTGATTGGTATCCCCTCAATTTCCAATTCTTTGCCACCACAAAAAGAGCTGCTATAAAGATTTTTGTATATATGGATCCCTTTACTTTTTTTATGATCTCTTTGGGATACAGACCTAGTAATGATATTGCTGGACCAAAGGGTATGACCAGTTTTATAGTCCTTTGGAGATACTTCCTAATTGCTCTCCAGAATGGTTAGATCAGTTCACAACTCCACCAACAGTGCATTACTGTTCCAATACTCCCACATCTCCAACATTTATAAATTTTTTTTTGTCCTATTAGGCAATCTGATAGGGTGAGATGATGCCTCAGAGTTGTTTTAATTTGCATTTCTCTAATGAATAGTCATTTATTTTTTAAACAATTTATCTATTTTTATAGAATACAGGTTCTTAAGCTGGGGTTGATGAACTTTCAAAAAATACCTTCTTTGATGGCTATTTCAATAGAATTGACTTCCTTTGCAGTCTTACGTATCTTATTTTTCGCAATTAAAAGTTTTGAGCAGGAGTCCAAAGGCTTCCCTAGACTGCCAAAGGAGTCCATGACATGTGAAAAGGATTAAGAACCCCCATGCTAGAATCTGAAGGGTATCTTTAAAACAATTTTTACTAGTCTAACTCTATTTTCCTAGATTAGATATCTATTAGCATTTTGGAAAAATGTTATTTGAAAAAAAGTTTTTGGCCAACCCAGAAAATGAAAATAATTATCAATAAGCATTTATAACATCATTATGTGCCAGGCATTGTGCAAGGCACTAGGGACACAATTACAAAGAATGAAACAATACCATCTGCAAGGAGCTTCATCTCTAAATTAAAATATTGAAACAGAAGTCAAATGATCTGACATTCAAATGGTGTCACTGACTCCCTTGTATGAGTGGCATAGATATTTACGGGCCTTAGCTGCTTAATTTGTAGACTGGTTTTACTCCAATCCTCTATCTTTCATCTACTTTATTATCTTGTATGTATCTACATATTGTCTTCAACTTTTGAATGCAAGTTCCCTGAGGGCAGGCATTGTTTTTACCTTTCTTTTGTATCCTTATAGTTTAGCATAATGTCTTTTCATATAGTATGCACTTAATATTGATTGATATCTCAGCTAGGGGAATGTTATAGTCATTATTACTTTAGATATATTTTATATAAAAATATGAAGTTTAATGAAATAGTAGCCTAAACTACCTTCACTAAAGTATTATTCTCTTCATAATTCCTATGTCCTAGACAAACTAGACAGCTTACCATTCTGCCAATTTGTCTTGCCTATGTCTGTGATCAGCTTATTTACACACTTACACATATCCTATCATCTTCACCTGTTGAAATCCTAACCTTCAAGGTTCAGCTTATATAGGAACTCTTCCACTTCTTTCTTGATTGGTAAGCTCACCTCTTCTCAAACCTCCTGAGTCATAAGACTGTGTACCTCTTTTATGCTCAAATACTTCTCATTTGCTTATGATATTCTATTTTGTATTCATGTTACTTACGTAAATGCTGTATCCCCTAATGGGTTCTAAGCTGCAGGGGACAGGAAATACATTATTTATCTTTGTTTAGCACCGAACTGATAATTCTTTGTACAAAGCAGGCACTTAATACCATATTGGTTCCAATACAAGATGCCCATAAAATAGAGACCTTTTTGAAATCTCACATACAGAGGTATGCTGAAAAGAAATAATGAATATAGATTGAACTCCAGCTTTATATATGTAAAACTTGGGGAAAAAATGTCTTCTGTATTTATACAGGAACCACATGCATTCAAACACTTACCATAAGTTTGTCCATATAATTAGCAAAGCTAAAATTAAAGATATAATTTGATGTTTATCCAGGTCACAAGTTGAAAGGCTTTTGGGTTTTTTTAATAACTGACAGTGACAGAATGTTAGAGCTAAAATGGACTTTATAGCAATCAACCAGCCCAATGCCCAAATTTTATAGATAAGAAAACTAAGGCTTAAGAGATGTTAAATAACTTACTCAATGCTGTATCATGAGAGTAATTTCAATGCTTTTCCAAACATAATTTAATTCTGCAATTACTGTTCCTTTTAAAGGTTTATAATGATCACTACCTGCGAGGATTTAGATATCAATTGAAGCCCTTTTTCCCTTTGGAACTGAGTTTATTACGAACTACTGATAAAATATTGAATATAGACTCTTACTATTACTATCAAATTCTGAAGCCTAGAAAGGCTTATAGTAAACTTACTTTTGTCAAGATCTGCTCTGATATCTAACCCCAAGTTAGACTAGCAGAAGTTGGACACATGGCTTTGTCAAGAACTAAAGATTCTGGAGTCTGTCTTCTTATAGAAATGATTTGGAACAGCTAACAATACATTCAAATGGAACCCTAAGAGCCATCTTTATTCCATTATCTTGGAACCTCTGATACCATCAGATAAGATTTTAATAATGCTAAACGCATATCATCCTTTGTCACATGAGGATCAGTGACTGCAACTAAGTATATGGCCTAGAAACGAGGAGGAGGGGGAGAGACGGAGTTGATAGCTAGGTGTTGCAATGGATAAAGTACTGGCCCTAGAGCCAGACTGTGCCCATGGGCAAGTCACTTAACTGCTGTCTGCCTTGGTGGCTCAACTATAAAATGGAGATAATACAGCACCTACCTCACAGGTTGTTGTGAGGATCATATGAAACATTTGTAAAGTGCAAAACACAGTACCTGGCACATAGTAGGCACTTAATAAATGAGTTTCCTTCAAGTCACTGAAGGGTTTTCCAGGGGAAAAGGGACTAGACCCAGGAGCAATGAGTATAAGTTGCAAAAAGGCCAATTTAGGTTGGACATCAGGTACACCTTTGTGCTGAAGTGGAATGGACTTTCTCAGGAAGTGTTGGCTTCTCTTTTGAGTCTTCCAGCAGAGAATAAACGACCACAGGCTGGGTAAGTAGGAAGGGGGTATTCCTTTCAGGTATGTGATGACCTACAAGGGCCCTTATATGCCAACAACTTTCACTCTAACATCTGCATTAGCATTATGTTTCATCTTAATCTGAACCAATGAATGGGTCCATATATCTGCACAAAGTGCTCTCACATTCTATTCTACCTATGTCACTGGTTTGTAGTGTGCAAGGAACTTTTAAAATCTTAAAATCTAGTAAATATGAATTATATCATCTTTAGAATCCTGGTATCAACTCTCAGTACTAGCTGGAATCAGGTAAACCCTCTGATGTAAAAACTGATAAAGTAAAGCTAAAACTACTTGAAGGTTTTTGAAAAGAAACTATCTATATGTGATGATCATATCTATATCTATCATATATATACAATGCTCATATATACACATATAGTTTTTTTATATATATACATATACATACATACACACACACATATATGATGCTCACATCTTAAGAGTAGACTGTTTTCACACAGAAAAAAATTTATGAAATTATAGGAAATCAGAATACCTATGTCCAAAAACATTTCTAGCAATACCCAAATGGGTAAATTCACTTTGTAAAAGGGATCAATAAAATAAACACACAGAAAAATTTGAAATTCATGTAAACGCACCAAAATCCTTTCTGTTTAGCTAGTCTCTTACCATCAATCTATTATTAACTCTCAGAACTCACAAGACACCAGATTTTTCTTAACAGAATTAGAATACTTCTGTATCTAATGTACAGAAAAAAATAAAAATAAGTTACATAACTACAAAGATGACAATCTAACAGCTATATAAATGTTAACTTAATCACTGACACTTGGATGACTTAAACACACAACAGAAACTTTATTTTTCTTTAGCAAGGCTTTATAAAGCTTACCATAATGCAAGAGTAATAATAAACAAAGTTTAAAACTTGGTCATAATACATCCTAAGACGATAAAGCCAAAGCAATTATACATCGGTCCAGCTATGACAAGTTTCTTGTAATTTAAAAAAGAAAAAACTTCATTAGTTTAAAAAAAAAATAACTAAACCAACCAAACTGATTGTATGATAAAATTTCTTTCCCCTTAATCTATGGGGAAAAGGAGCCCCTGATCACTTCCCACAGCTCCATATCCATCTCTGATTGGACATTTTGGCACAACTCAACATAAGTCAAATTATATTGATAGCTGTACAAGCACAAATGTGGAGTGCTTACTGAAATGTCCACTACTTTACATTACACAGCATAAGAAATGTGTTCTTTAAAGACATCATTAGTTCTCAGAAAGAGAGAACACCCTGACAGTCACCTTTCTAGCTTGCATAGATGTTGTGACAGCTTTTTTGGTTCAACTAAGAACACAGGTAACAAAATGTATTAATGTATTATTTACTATCACCAGCATTTGTTATAAAATTCTTAATTTCATGCACCACAACTAAACCTTTTTTGGTTTAATATTCAAACACTTCTCAGTCATCCCTAATAGTACCAGAACTTCTAAACTGGCTAGAGATAAACTCAGATTTAAAGTTTGAACATATTTTCTTCTTCAAGCATCCATGTTTTAAAATACTTCTGTTATAACTGTACTTTGCCCTTGACTACCCATGAAAAATCCCTTTCAGACACGCCAATAGTCTCAGTATTTTTCTATAAAAAGTCCTTCTCTCATTTTTTCCAGATAGAGAAGGTTATGCCTCAAAATATCTGAAACATTTGTTTTTCTGAAGAGAAGCAGGTAGATTCAGCTAAAGATGAGTATCCTTAAATGAAATCTATCACCATTATTCCATCTGTAACAGATCCATATGTCAAGATTCCATGTCAATTTCAGCACCTTCATCCTTGCTGGTAAGAGTTGCTTCAGTCAGTTTCTCAATTTCTGACAGATCAATGGAAGGTAAAGGATTTCTCCAGTACTGGAATGTATTATATTGCCAAAATTCTTCAATGAGCTGTTAGGGGTAAAAACATATGAAAATCAGTGCTTTACATGAAAGATAAGTCACTAAAAGAAACAATTTTTCCTTTTATTTTAAGAGGGAAACAAAAAAAGACTTCAACTTTTATTTTAGAATTTCAAAGATAAATATACATACCTAAAATACCACCTTCAAAACACATTTCATTATATACTTGCATATTTTAATTTATAGTACTTTAATATTTATAGGTTTTAAAAACTATTACTTATTACTAGGAGCTGAGAAAGGTCTGTGACACAGAATCTTTTCCTAGACAACTATTTTCTGCCATTCTCTCCTGTTCTATCTTGAAAAATAATCTTACATCTACAGCACAAGAATGGAATTTTTTACCTGTTGACGAAGAAATTAAATATCCATAAAAACATAAGCACAACACACCTTTGTAAGCAGGATATTTGTCTGCAGTCCAATTAAAACACACACACACACACACACACACACAATTTGAGTAATAGCCATAACAAAGTTACTTTGATGGTGGTCTATAAATTTATTTCAAGGAAACTCCTTAAATAAAGTATTTTTTAAAACTTTTTATGGAATTGTCTTCAGAGTCTTAGCACATTCTCAGTTTCTGATGGTGTATTTTATTTCCCGAAAGAGTCAAAAGGTGTTCTGAACTAAACCTGATGAATAAAGCGGTAAGCAAAGCAAGTAATATTGTATTTGGTCAAATAATTAGACAACAAAATTGTGACTACAAAGTAATGGAACATTGTCTTATGTTGTTTATACAACCTTTCTCAGAAGGCAATTCCAAATGACATTTTAAACATATTTTGAACATTGGCCAATGTCAGTGGGCTTGTTGTTCAGTTTTTTCAATCATGTTTGACTCTTTGTGACCTCATTTAGGGTTTTCTTTTCTTGGCAAAGATAATGGAGTGGTTTGCCATGTCTTTCTCCAGCTCATTCAGGATGAGGAACTAAGGCAAACAGGGTTAAGTGACTTGCCCAGGGTCACACAGCTTGGAAATGTCTGAGGCCAAATTTGAACTCATGAAGATAAGTCTTCCTGATTTTAGGCCTGGCATGCTATCTACTAAGCCACCTAGGGAACAGCACCTCAAACTGGCTATTACCTTTCTTACCTTATTTGACTCTACTCTCCCTTCATGTGTTCTCTATTCCAGCTAAACTGGGAATGGGAGATGAGGGAACTGAGAAGAAGGTATTACAAAGGGTGGCCAGTGATGCACTCTCTTCTTTTGGGCAGACTTCTGCCCAAATGACTTCTGGAGTGAACCTGGTTTTGCTCCCTTTTACACTGTGTGATCATGACAAAATGACACCAATCTATGAGTCTTCATTTCTTACATTCTCATTTCTTACAATCCCACTTCATTTGGGGTTTACATCTTGCCACAGGGACTGGAGTAAAATCAAGATGATTCTATGACTAAGCAACTGACTGAATGTAGGGGATGAGAAAAAGTAAAGAATTAAGGATGAGCCAGATGACTGGAAGAAGAGTAGTGAAATCAACAGGAGTAAGAAAGATAAAAGGACAGGTGGGTTTGGGGGAAAATATAATGAGTTCTGTTTTGTTGTCTTTAGTTTAAGAGATGCTTTATGGGGTATCTAGGCAGAGATGTCCAAAAGGCAATTGATAATGAGAGACTGGAGCTCAGCAGAGATGAGGGTAAGATAAGTAGTTACGTGAGCTGTCTTCACAAAGATGATAGCTAAACCCAAGCAAGCTAATGAGATCAACAAGAGAATGTGTATAGGTAGAAGAGAACATAGTGGAGTAGAACATGAAGAGCCTTCAAAAAAAACTGAACTAAATTATACATATCTTTTGACCCAGTAATACTAATAGTAGCTACATAGATGGAAGAGGTCAAAAATAGGGTGAAAAACAATCAATTAAGTGCTAGAAACAAAGTGAGTGCTCATCACAACCAGGAGTGTAGTGGTGGTGGTGGTGAAGATGACATGGGCAGACCAGTGCTTTAGAAATTCCCATCACTTTGGCAGGTGCATGAGATGGGAGAGACTTGAGGTGGAGAGACCAATTAGATTACTCCAATATTCTAAGCAAGCAGAGGTGGGTGATTAAATTAGGGTAGTGACCAAGTGAGTGGTGAGAAGCATTCTTATCTTAATTTTATAGACAAGAAAACTGAGTCAGATAGGAATAAATGACTAGCCCAAAGTCACACAGCACAGGTGGCACACCTAAAATGAAGTCTTCTGACTTAACTTCAGTTTTACTCTACACAATCTAATATTCATGTTAGACATGGTATATCCTTAATCCAAAGGAAATCTTCTAGGCAGGTTTCACTTGAATCAGCATATTAGAGAAAACCTGTCTCTGCCTACTCCTCCATCTCCCATTTATAACTTTTTCTTAACACAGCTACATAGAAATACACATATACAGAAAGCTATTAATAACAAATTTGGTCAAAGGAATAAAAAGCCTTGCTAAGTTTATACAGCTCAGAAAAATTATGGGTGACAATTCACCATGTTCCTATTTATTCTACTAAAAATGAGATTTCTTATTTTTTCCAACAGCAGATATGATGGTTTAATCAAAGAATAGAGTTAAAGAAATTAATGTAAATCTATAAGGAAGATGAAAATGAAAGATTGGGACTATCAATAATCTAATGGTATTTGGTCCATTTAATAATTGTAAGAAAACAATCCAAAACAGTAACTTCTACAGTTTAAATGACAGGAGTAAAAACTTTTTTAGTGAGAAATTTTCTAAATTCACCTTTCTCCAAAGTCGTGGATGTCCTGTGGTCAGTTATTCCATTATTGCTAGGCCCATAACCCAAAGAGATGAAAGAGGAAAAAGAGCTACACATAAAAAAAGTATTTATAGCAGCTCTTTCCGTGGCAGCCCCAAACTGGAAACTATAAGGGTATCCACCTACTGGAGAACTACTAAAAAGTTACTGTATATGAACGCAATGGAATATTGTTCCATTAAGAAATGATGAAATGGGCAGTTTTAGAGGCAACTGGGAAAACCTCTATGAACTGATGCAGAGTGAAGTGAGCAGAACTAGAAGAAAATTTATAGCAATGATAACATTAACAAGAAAATCAACCATGAATGACTTTAGAACTCTGACCCACAAGTCCAGAGGATTGAAGATGAAATATTCCACCTACCCTCAGCCAGAGAGGTGCTGGACTTAATAAGCAAAATGTACATTTTTTTCTGAACATAGCCAACGCATGCATTTGTTTTGCTGGCCCATGCACATTTGTCATGAGGGTTTCATTTTTCTTTTCTAATTGTTCAGTGGGGAGTGGAAAGGGGTGGGAGGGAGAGATAATAAATACTTGTAAAAATAAATGAAAAAATAATTTAAACCAAAAAAAAGAGAGAGACCTTTAGGATCCACCTCACACGAAACTGGTCTGGCTAGAAATAGATTTGACCTGGTTGAAAAATAAAGGGAACCAAACATTCTTACTTTATTCAAATTCATTCTCTACTTGAAACATACTTGAGCAGTAGGTCCTACAGTTCTTATGCTCAAATGGATAATAAATATTTGACTGTAGGTTCTTCCCTGATCATTTATTGTTACTGAGAACTGATTTTTTCCTTAATAAAATGTTTAATTTAAACTTATCATATGGATTTGATGTGAGGACAAAAAGGCCACATAACTACTAAGCTGACTTCCCTAAAGCACAGGTCTATGTCACCCCCCTACTCAAACTCTACTGGCTACCTATGGCCTTTAGGATCAAAGGAAAACTTCTCTATCTGGATTTTAAAGCCCTTTACAACTTAGCCTTGACATATCTCACAGGATTGTTGTGAGGATCAAATAAGAAAATGTATACAAAGTGTTTTGCAAACCTTAAAATGTATATCAATATGAGTTATTATTATACCTTTCCAATTTAAGCCCTTCAAGACATACCTTTCCAGTTTTGTTATACTCTACTCTCCTTCCTTGAACTCATGACTTAAAACCAGACTGGCCTTTTTGCTGGTCCTCACATACATAACACTCTATTTCCGGTCTCTGTGACTTTGCAGAGCTTTCCCTCATTCCTGGAACACACTCTCTCCTCAACCCCACCTTTTGGAATCCTTGGTTTCCTTCAAAATTTAGCTCAAGTATCATCTTTTACATGAGGCTTCTCCAGATTCCCTGAGCTGCTACTGCCTGCTTCCAATATATTGTACTTTGTATCTATACACATACATATATGCATACATCTATACGTGTATAAATGTTTATGTGTGCATAAATATACACATGCATTTATACCTAAGTAAAGGTGTTTACTTAGTAATAAAGTAAAAACATTTTGGCTTTATTCAAATTCACTGTCTACTTGAATTTTACCATGAAACATACTTAAGAACATATATTAAGATCTTAACTCTACAGCAGAATGTTGGTTCCTTGAGGGCTAAGACTTTCATTTTTGTCTCTGCATTTTCTATGCCTAGCACATAGTAAGTACTTAATAAATGCTAGTTCACTAACTGAAAACAACACTCAAGAGTTGAAAACTGTACACACCACCAATACCTTAAAGTTTTCTTTTTATGGGGTCCTGTCAACCCTATCCTTCCCTGGGAATACAATTTCATTTGCTTTGGAAGAAGATACATTACAGAGTATGTGGCTGTCACCAGGATCCTGTGGTGAAGATTTATCTTCTAGGCATGTAAATTTTTTTTTTAACCTCTCAGCCAAGTTTGAATTGGTCCACGTGTGCTCAGTGCTGGTGGGCCTTGCCAAGGACACTACTGGTTGTTAGCAGCATAATGCTAGAAGTTAATATTAAGCCTTCACAGGAGACCAATGACATTTTGCTACCCATCTTCAAGTAAAGAGTCCATCTAGAAGTAAAGCTGCCTAGTTTGTATCACTAACATTAAAAACCATTTCTTCTTGCTTTAGCTTATTACATTCTATTCTTAGTTTTTACCCAGACTGCTAGTCTCTCCTTTGACAAATATTTTACATTTATCCAACTCTGCATTTTCAATTTTTCTTCCCATCCATCCGGTGTGGAAATCCTTCAGGTTTTAATTCAACAGGATTCCAAAATGTAGTGGAAAGCCAGTAGCCTTGGGGATTGTAATCCTGGCTCACATACTTAATACTATTTAACTGTGGAGCACGTAGTCATTTGTCACAGGAGGCACTATCTATTTTGCCAAGTCGTTGTAAAGAAAGCACTTCACAAATCATTGGGACTATCAGGCACTGGCAGTGTGTAAGTTCCTTGGGGGCAGGGGCAGGGGCAGTTTCTTTTACACATTTTTTTTGAACTAAATAGAAATGTGAGCTATTATTAACCATTGGCCGGTAATCACATTAACTAGAAGAAAAGCTTATGGATTCAAGCTTGAATGAAGAGCGGATTTGGAGTCAGAGGACCTGGGTACCAATTCTGGCTCTGCCACTAACTGTGTCACCTTGGACAAGATACTTTTAACCTCTCTGGGCCCGTTTCCTCAAATGTAAAATGGGGGTGAAGGGTCAGATCACGTTTCAGGCCTCTTCCAGGTCCCAAGTTAGGATCCCGGGATCTTTCCCCAGCTCCAAGAAAGCTCGGCTCCTCTTAGGAGGGTGACAGGGACCACTCGTCCTCCCAGAGCACACCCTGATCCCAAACTGAGCATGCGCGTAGGCGCAGGGCCGCCGCGATCTCACGCCCCGGCCGAGGACCGCCTCCTGCACCCTGGGAGGGCCGGCCCAGAAAGGAGGCGGGAGCGCGCGGGCCCCCGGCCCTGACCTACCTGCTCCTCCCGGGGCCTGGTGCCCCTGGGCCGCGGGACCTCCACTCCGGCGCCCCGCTCGGGCTCCGGGGAGCGGGGCCCAGGCTCCTCCGCGGGGCAGCGCAGCTCGGCCGGCGGCTTGGGCTCCCCGGTGTCCATGCGGGCCCCGTCCCCGGGGGCAGGGCCGCCGGGGCCCGCGGCCTCGCCGGAGCGCTTGCTGGGCGAGGCCAGGAGCTCCGTCATGGTCCCGTCCTCCCGCTTCCGTTTGCGGCGCAGCTCAGAGCCGTTCAGCGGCAGCCGCGGCCCGAGCCCCGGCGTTGCCCACAGCGGCTCGGGCTCGTCCAGGCGGCCGCAGGGCAGGAGCCGCTTCCAGGGCACGTGGAACGCCAACGGCTCCGCCGCGCGCCTCTTGGCCATGGGCCCGCTAGGCCTGGGGCTGACCCTGCTCCTACAGCGGCGGGATGCGGCGAGAGCCGGGCGCGGGGGGAGGGGCAGGCTGGAGATGAGGGCCCGGGCGGGTGGGGGGAGGGGGGAACAGTGAGAGGGCGCGAGGAGCAGCGGCGGGCGCGAGGAACCCGGCGTGGGCACGTAGCCTGCAGTCTGGGGCTGGGAGGGTTCTACGCTCGCGCAGGTGTCTGCGGGCGGGTGGGCGGGGGCGAGAAGGTGGCGGCGGGGGCTGTGCAGGATTCGAATCGGTGCGCGCGTGCTCCGTGCTGGCGGTCCGGGCCGAGCCAGCTGCTGGTTGGTGGCTGCCTCGCTACCGGAAGTTAGCGGTCCTCACGGGCGGAGGGGGTGCAAGGGAGAAGGGAGGAGCGGTGAGTGCTGGAGCCGGGGAAGGGGCTGATGCTCGGCCAGGTCTGGAGGTTCCGTGTGGCCGATTCACCCACCCTCCCCCAGCGTCATTTGGATGCTTCCCTGACCCTGTGTAGGGAATGAGCGGCCCTGCCTTGGAGAGGTTTATTAAACGAGGCTTTTAAACCAGCCTTAAATTATTTTATCTCTTATTTAAATGGAATCCCTTTGTAACCTCAAAACAACCCCAAGAGTAAGTGCTCCAGGAATTTTTTGGGAGCTCCCTAGGTGGAAACATGTTTGTCGGTCAACTGGCACTTATTAGGCGCCTATTGTGTGCACAGAATTGTGCTAAGTGATGGGAACAAAGAAATGCCAAAGCTCAGTCCCTTTTCTCGTGGAGCTCCCGTTCTGAAGGGAGGGGCTACATGCAAATAAACAAGATGATTATATATATATGGTGTAAATGGCGAGGGGGGTGGTGGGGACAGGAAAGGCATTTTACCGAAGGAGTGAGGCACTCAGTGGCAACTCATCTTCAATTTAAAAATCTTTGTGAGAGTGGAAGTTAAGTGCACTTAAGTACTTAGCCATTATGTTTCAGAATGGGTGGGGAAACTGTGGCTGGAGGCCACACATAGTCCTCTAGATCCTTAAGTGTGGCCCTTTGAATGAATCCAGACTTCACAGAACAAATCCCCTTACCAGATGCTGGACTTGAACCCATGTTTTCCTAACGGAAAGGGTGCTCCAACCGTTCTGTCATTCTCTTTTGCTACTACCTCATCATCACCATCATCAGAGTTCTAGGTAGTAGTGGGGTACAGGCCTAAGCCAAGACCTTTGCCCGATTTGTCTAAGGGACTGTCTTTGAATTTTCCCACTTGATCAAGGAGGTCTCTGGTGGTCCCTTGAGGCTATAATCCCATCAACTGGTCTTTCATTGTGGCTATGCCCGGTCTCCCAATTCTCTGTTATAGTTAACCTAGCCCTTCCTATGGTCTCTGGCCACTTCCCACCATTAATCCTATCTAGGCTCCATTGGTCCAGGTTCCTGGCAGTTCTATTACCTCAGAGTCCCCACAGACTACTTGGCCACTCCTAGATCCCTCCCATAGTCTTTCTGTATATAAGGTCCATCTTGTCTCCCTTAAGGTGCTCAAATTCTTACAATCTAGCCAATAGCTCACAGATGCTCAGATTCCACAAGAGTCTGGATAATATGGATGTATCTTTGATAAACCTCGTCTCTGGCTGAAAGAAGGCTTGGGGCGAAATCTTTTGGGCAGGACCAAAGTGTCATGATTTTGGGGTCCTAGCACCCCTAAACCGCAACAGTAGTATTCTCATTTTACAGATGAGGAAATGGAGACTGAGAGACCTTAAGGGATTTGTCCACGGTCATATAGTATTAGCCGTGAGAAGTTCAGAAGTGGGAAATTAGGTCTAGTTTCAAATACCACTTTCTTTTCCCCTAACCCTGTGCCACAGCTGCTTTCCCCTGCCTAGTGGTATTCCTTAATGGTGCAAGGACAGTTCAGGGTCTCTTAGAGCTAGCTTCAGGACTTAAAGATAACACTAGATGTTTTGGTATTTACCCACGGGCTAATGGTATAGAAGATGACAATCCTTACCTTTTAATTACAGAGACTATGGTTAGGCTGACCTTTAAACTAGCACAGAGGAGAAAGCAAAATTGCTGAACTTAACTAAAGGACATTGAAAGGGGACTTAATTTGAATTTCTCAATATACATGGCTTGATCCAACCACTTGATCCAATCTAAGCACAGGGTACAGAATGGGTCTTTGGAGAATTCTATCATTGACTTCCAAAATGACATTGAACCATCAGTGACTACTCCTTGAGTCCATACACCTGAACCAGTTCAGAACCTTCATTTTTCCATAATTGTACAGGATGAAAAGACATAAGCGTTTTTTTATTCTGTCCCTTTAGAGGAACTGTCTGCATCTATGAGATTATATATTCATCGAAATAATTGATCTCTTTGACCCATGATCTCCATGCCTAATGAATAATATACTTGGTAATAGTATTACACCTTTCCCCCCTTTCCTGCCTCCTTAAGTGTGTTGTCTCCTTTAGATTGTAAGCTCTTTGAGGGCAGGGTCTTTTTTTTTTTAATTGTACACCCAACACTCAGCACAGTGTATGGCTCCTCACAAGCATTTAATGAATGTTTATTAGGGGGCAGCTAGGTGGCACAATGGATAGAACTTTGGCCTTAGAGCCAAGAGTTCCTGAGTTCAAATTTGGCCTCAGACACTTGACGCTGTGTGACCCTGGGCAAGTAGCTTAACCCCAATTGCCTCACCAAAAAAAAAAATGTTGATTGGATTGATTAAAAACATAGGCAGATCAATAATACCAAGAGGATCCTTGCTACTTAAGACTATAATCAGGGGTGTGCAGGTAAATGTTTAACAACCAGCCTTCCTCCTTTCCCCAAAAAATGTACTCATGAAAACACTTTTAAGTTTAATTTGAATTATTAACATTTCTTCATCATTTATGTCTAGACATTCTGTAACACAATAAATCAAGGCTTGGTTTGTAGCATTTGCTGGTTTCTATGGTGTAAATGCTCATACTAAAAATTTAACAAGACTCAGCCAATTGGAGCTGATTCCAACACACCTCTATAACTACTCCAGCCATAAAAACAGGTACAGAAATAAAAGGGAGGTATAGGAAGACAGAAATTGCTATCAAAATTCACTTCTAGAAACAGTAGCCATCATCCAAAGAACCATCCTATCATACAATCAATGCAATACTAGTATAACCTAACACTTAACCCCAGATATGACTCAGCATGGTGTTTTGCATAATTATTTCTCAGATAAGTATCAAACTTTTCTTTTTGCTTCAATTTTCTGATATAATTCTTGCCTACCAGATTTTTACTTTTCTACTAAAGTCCTGCTGTCAAGTATTGCCACTGTATAGAGGTGACTCAATTCTCAAAGGCTGTATCAGCAGAGTATAAGTTTTACCTAAGTGGAAAGGCTTCAAGTACAAGCTAAAGGACTCCATCTAATCTGAGGATGAGCATAGTAAAGCTTGGGGAGGTTTGCTGCTAGTTTAGCTATAGAGTGATGATGTTTTGGTCATTTGTTTAATTCTTTTTCAGTCATGTCTAACTCTTCATGACCCCATTTGGGGTTTTCTTGACAGAGATACTGGAATGGTTTGCCATTTCCTTCTTCAGCTTATTTTACAGATGAGGAAACTGAGGTGAACAGGGTTAAGTGACTTGCCTAGAGTTACATAGCTCCTAAGTGTCTGAAGCCAAATTTGAACTCTTCCCGATTCCAGGCCTGTGGTGCTCTATCTGCTTTGCCACCTAGCTATCCAACTTTAGGCACAAAGGGATTACAATCTAAATTGGAAGAACAACCTAGACCAATAAAAATCACAGATCCTTGAAACCGGAAGGTGTCTCTCCTTGTGGCTCCCAGAGTGGGCAGCTTTTCCTGCCTAGACCAGTCAGACCTCTCTGGCACAGTTCCCCTGTCATGGGGATGAAGGGACCAACCAAGAGCCTACGGTCTCACATGTTCCTTAGCAAGGGACCAGCATAAGGGTGCATGCTCATATCCAAAGCAAGTACTTCAATCCAACACTGTTACACAAAGAAAAATTCCCTAACAATTAGAATGTCCAAAAGTGCACTGGGCTGCTTCATTAGTGAATTCTGGTCATCAGAGATTTTTAAGCAAAAACCAAATGAACACTTCTTGGTGATATTGCAGAAGGAATTTTTACTTAATTACTGGTTAAGCTAGATGCCCATTTAGGTCCCTTACCAACTCTAAAATTGTGATTCTGTGAAGGAGGAGGTGGGGTACAATTCCTGTTTTATACTTACAGGGTTACATTGGTAAAACTGTGGTGTCAAAGGAGAGAGACAATCATGGTGCTGACTTTGCTGCTAGCCCTGGAATTCCTAACTTCTTCTACATACCTCAGTCCCTAATTTCAGGTAGGTAGCTGTGCTTGGCAGTAACTTTCGCTAAAGAAGGAAATGCCACCACAGGGAGGTGACAGATTGCTGTCCATTAGCTGCCCCAGCAGATTCATACACATTAGATGTAGCTGCAGCAGCACCTGGTCAGTGAGTGACTGACAGAAAGGACAGCAACACAGCTAGACTGGCTTTGTTGCTTCTCTACCATAAATTTTTCTTCGGCGCTATTTGGCCTAAATAATGGAACTGTAGGGATCCATTGCCCACTTTCAGAAACATTACTCTTAAGTTTTCTTTTTTTTTTTGAGGTGCTACTTGCTGCGTAGGAAATATTTAGTGACACTACTAACCAAATGTTGAGACTTCCAAAGAACTTTCCAACCGTGGGAGAAGCAACTAGTGCTTAATGGGTTTGGTGCTGCTAATCAGACATTTTCATCCTTAGTTTGAGATACAATCCACTTTTGCATATTTAGTTATCTTTATTCATTCCTGTTGCTATAAGAACAGAAAACTCAGAAAATTTTTGCAACAAAACTATCCATCTCTAAGTATAACATTTGTTCTTATTTCTATTTCTTCCAGGCCTCTCTCAGATTTAGCTCTTCAGTATGAGCTAAGGTCAGGATAATAACTATTTTGCATGTTC